GGAAAGAAAATGAAGACTTGAGCTAGAAGAGGTCAGTTTTGAACAGAAACTGTGGATGAGTACCTTAATACAAACGCACAGGACCAGCTTTTGAGCCGCATGGCTTGCGACTGTTACGACTGCAGAGAAGACATAGAATTCCCCTGCCTTTGTCCCCTCCTTCAGCTTGCAAATTTTGTTAAATGCTTTATCAGTAAACAAGGCATGAGACACTTAGGAAAAACACTTAGATATAAACAATCCCCTTAAACATATATTTAAATATATTACCATTTCCGTAGTTCAACAAAATCTCAAAAAGGATATTAGGAGAAAATTACACTTTCTGTATTTCTTTACTGTTCTCTAAAGAAATTGTGTTATGGGGTTTGCTTATTTAAAAAATAGCATAAGAAAGAAAAATTGTAGCATTCTTTTAGCTTGCAGCATGCAGCTACCTTTATCAGTTTGGTAAATTGAGTAGCTCTTCCTACCAAGAACCACAACCGCTGAGGCAGAGTATGTGAATATTTGCATGTGTGTGTTATGTGATGAGGTGGTCTACTAATTTCTATGGCAAGGCTGTGGCAACCAGCACACTTTCTAAATTTTAAGTTTAAGGCTGTATCTTGTGACAGAAACAACACAAAGATAAATATGGGTGAGAGGAAATGGGAAAAGATGTGAAGGGTAGGAAGCAGAGAAAAGTCAGAGAGCAATCTGAATGTGACCTTATAAATTAAAGTGGTCAGCCTGGGGAAGGATGGATTTAAAAACCACATTTGGACAAATAATTCTGCATGTCTCTCTCCTTGAGTGCAAACTCAAGCTCCAATCTCTGTCTGAAGAGGTGGTACTGAGAGATCTGCTATAAAGGTGCCATGGAAAGCAGGAGTAATGAAGTATCTGTTTCTTTACATAGTATTTTTATGTGCAACTCTACATCTGGGGATCAGGTTGTGCACAGGCTGGCAACCCTGTTTGGAGTTGTTGATATGAAAGTTCATTTCAACTTGTAAAGAATAAGAGCAATATTACACATTCGCATCCTGAATTAATTTCAAAATATTCTATTTTAGGATGAAATTATGACAAGAATTATCATGAGATTAAAATCTTAAGTGCTAGAAAACATCAAAATAAAATTTGAGCAGATACTTGAATTTAAGCAATACAATGGCACAACTGAATTTTCTAGAGAAAGCAGTTCCTCGGTGCTTTTAGAAAGTTTGGTTTAGTTTTTTTTTTTCTTCCATATTATTCGTACAGCAGTGAAAAATCATGTGAAAGGAAACTAGCAATTTACAAAAGGAAACTGGACACCTGAAAGGAAGATAGAAGAAAAGCGATCTAGAGAGAATTTGGAGACATTTTGACATTATTAGGTGAGAGAAAATGCTAGAGAGATTCTCTGATGAGGTCTGATCCCTTCATATTTCCTCTGTTTCTCCAAACACGAGTAGGTGCAATAGTTATGTAGCATCTTTGCTTATTAAGTACCCTGACAGCTGCACACACAGTTGGCTCGCTTGCCAAGTGCGGGAGGGAGCCACCCTCTCTTACCTCTGACCTTGTACTGCTCTGTGCTTGTTATCATGACTCTTTTTTCCCAAATCATCGTGGGTTTTGTTTGTTTGTTTGTTTTTTTCTTTTTAAGCCCTGCTCCTTAAACCACCTTTTTCCTCTTTGGAGTGGGTGATAATCTCTACATGAACTGGACCAGCAGCAATATTTTATATACTGTAATGTATGGAAAGCAGGGATACCACTTACCCCATGAAATCAATTCTGGGAAAGACTGAAGGTTCAGTTTAACCACTATCATCTTCTTTATCTACTTGTAGGAGATATTTAGGCAAAGTGCATAAGAACCAACTAGCGCAGAAAAATCCCTTCCCTTACTTTAGCAATGTTACTTTCAGTAATGTAACTGCATTACTGTAGCATTCATCTTCACAACACATCTGCAAGGTAGCAAAGCAGTACTATAGCTATTTACAACAGTCACAGAAAAAATAAATTATTTCCCTGACACCACAGTAGAAAAAAGTGTATTAAGGGAAGGACTTGGGCCCAATTATTTCAACACCCAGATTAGTTAATAAGCTAGTTTGTTTTGGACAGAATCTCCACTAAGCCAACAAGATTCACAGAAATTCAAAGCTTCTTTCAGCTA